AAGTTTATTATATACAGAACTCCTAGTTGCAGTCTCATGTGGCAGTGGCCACTGGCGAAGCCAGGGCTGGTCATGACTGCGTCCAGCCAGGCCTGAGAGTGTGGACTGTCTGTTGTGTGGGGTGATAACACTTGCTTTAGTGGGATTGTGAAGCAAATTCAAGTAATTTGATATTAGTGTGTTGCAGGTAGCCCGAGGGGATGTCGCCTGCAAAGGCCCCCTGCTGCTTTGGCCAAAGGGGTGGTGTGTGAAGTCGTCCTTAGGGAGCAGCGACTACTTGGGCACGCGTGTGCGTGCGTGAGTGCGCACGTATGTCTGCGAGTGGAAGTAGGTCAAGTGGTCATCAGGACACCAAGTTGAAAAGGTGCTTGCGAAGGTACATGACGTTGGGGCAGCGGGCTTCGGAGAACGAAGGGGGCCGGAGGAAGAGGAATAATGGTCCACCGCCACAGTACTGAACCCAAGGATTATCATAGGTATATTAGTTGTAGACGCTAGACGGTGCCGCTGGGAAATAAAAGTGCGGTAGCTTTGGCTGAGCGCTTGCGCTTTCCTCTAGACACGCGGGTAACGGTTCCTCTCACGAAATTAGAATATGCCTGTAGTTTGGATTGTAAAGGTTTAGTGAAGAGTCACACCAGTAGTACGGTATCATGATAAATGGTAACAAAACACACTAAAATTCATTTAAAGACACCAGCATGGGACAAATCAGTGGGAAAAGTCTGTTTTGGCAAACGTGTTGTTGGCCAATCTTAATTGGGCCAGTAACTCTACAAAACGATGAAAGTTAAAGGTGTAGAAATATCAATAATTGTCGGACAAGTGCGCCGATTTGTCATTGCGGATTACGCCAGTCTGCGGCAGTAGGCGAGAACTACGTGTTGGTTATGGTATTGGGCATTGGTCAAAAGCCGGGTGCATAGAATGATCATTTTCATTTGTATGTAGCGAGCGCCTGTCACTAGTGGGTGGGGGCGATGTGCGATCGTCACCTGGCGTCGGCGTCGGCCACGGAAGGGAAAGGGCTTGTTTTAGCGTCTTCTGACAAAACAGAACTGTATTCGTTAGCAGTATAGCCACTGCTTTAGCTGTAGCAAGCACCCGTTGGCGCAGGCCTTTGGAGAAATTGGTTGGTGTCCGGTAGACAACCGGAAAGGGTTCATTTGTTTCGATTGGGTGATGCGTATGGACAAGTTGTGCGAGAATGGAGCTCGATGTCGACTTATTTTCACCTTTACTTAACTAGGTCGGTACATGTTCACGTACTCTCTTTTCCAGGCGCCTGGTTGTTCGGCCGATG